GGGAGGGCAGACCGAGACAGCGAGATAGAGTTTCGCTGTGCATTGAATCGGGTGTGATTGGCCGGCTTTATTCAGCGCGGAACCGGACACTGCAGTCGAATCACCGTAACGGGGATCACGGCATGACGGGTTGGGAATTGTGATAGGCATTGCACAGCAATAGCATCCGCCCAGGCTCAGCCTTTTTTTGTTTTCAATTAAATTGAACCTAAACCGACCCGAACCAATTTCTATTCTAGGACTGGCTCCACTGCCTGAAAATCCAAGTTTACGAATGTAGCACACCTGGAGGTATTACGTCAAAAGATTCACACACCTGCAGGTGTGCGACAACATATTCACACACGTGTAGAGGTCAGTGAAAAGCGATTCGTGCAATTGCCATGTACTCGCCCCCGAGACCCGGGAGACGCGTGGTCGAGCGTACCCGCACATAGCTAATAACACGTTAGCTAATGTGAAACTGGGTGCTCTACATTAGCTAACTTGGTCTGCCGTACGTTAGCCGAAGCATATGGCGAACCGTGTGATCATTTTTGCTTTCCATTTCTGCTGAATCAACAACCCGACCTCGGTCGCGGAGATGAATGACAGGCGGGATCGGATGGAGGCAGATGAGCGCCTCGCGTCTCGCGTCCCACGCGCCCTTCGGCGTGTTTGAGGGTCGCGCTCGGGGCCCCGCAATTGCAGCATCACGCGACGCGCCGCGGGCGCTGCGGTATGCGGGGCTGTTTGCTCAAGGCTATCTGCTCCGCACTCCACGAAAAAAAAAAGAGTCAGCTAAAATAGCTAACGCATTCACTAACATTGCCTTGGATCACAATATGAGCTCGCCTAGCTGATTCTTATAGCTAAGAAGGCTGACATATTAGCTTTCACAGCTAGTTGCTTTATTTTCTAGCAACTGTTATGACTAATTTTTTAGCTCTCTTTGCTAATAATTAGCTAGACAAGCTAAGATCCTAATCCAAAGGAATGCATTCGCTAATATAGCTAATTTTTTTTAGTGTGCTCCGCACGCGCTTGGCCCGCTTGGACACCACGCGCGTGCTCGGGGCGGGACAAAAGCCAACCCCGCGGCAGAGTAAAGCAGATGATGCACGGCTTACACTAGACGCTTTCATCTCTTCTGTGAACAGCCATCCACCATTATGAGAGACAGGGTGCAGAACAGCGGGAGTCGGGAATGAGCGCATGCAGTAATGATAATTTGCATGAAAAGGCGAATAAAAATGTGGTCGAGTGAAAATTAAAAAATGAAATAGAAATAAGAAACTAAATCAACGGCAAAATTCGCTGAGCTGAGAGCGAGCTTTTTAATACCCCTTTCTCCCTGCTCGCGCTTTGTTTCGTCACAGGGGCCCTGCCCGCCTGCCTGCCGCCCGGGCGCTTTTAGTCGACTCGGTGGCGCTGGCTCCTGGCTCTTTGAGTGACCTGAGAGAGAGAAAGTAGCGCAGGAAACTTGCAATATGAAGTGCGGAACATTTTAAATATACGGCTCTTTCAAGTTGAAGTCCATCTCCTATAGGCTATCGTTCATACTACCAAAACGTCGCTGGTCAAGTCAAGGGTCACAGTGTCTTGCACCAATGCGCGAGTGACCGGCTCGTCGGCCTTGTACTTACTTAGCGGCCCGGGCTCGACTGGCGTGGCGGGGCAAAGGGTAGGGTGGCAAGGACCGCATGAGCGCAAGGGCTTCTCATTAAGGAAATGGCACATTATAGCGGTAAACAACAGTGTGCCACGATGGGGGCACACACTCACTCAATGCGCCCCTTTCCCTTTATGGTCCCCCCCCCCCTCTCTCTCTCTCTCTCTCTCTCTCTCTCTCTCTCTCTCTCTCTCTCTCCCCACCTGCAGAGCAAAGCCCCGTGGTATCCTTCGCTCAGGGTATTGTTTCAGTGAAAGCCTCTTCCACGGCAGTGCCCCAGTGCCCGATGCCTATGCCATACATTGCGCCTCATACCGTCTTCTCGTATCCGCGCATCTTCTCTGATTTTCTGTTGTGTATAACGCTTTTCTCCATCTTCGCCCAGCACCCCCCCCCCCCCCCCCCCCCCCCCTCTCTCTCTCTCTCTCTCTCCCCCTCCCTATCGTGCCCTCTGCTGTCCTTGGTTATCAGTTTTCTCTCACACACAGACGCATATTCACCCAGAATAAAAATGATTGGTTATGAGAATTCTCGTGTGGTTGATTAAGAGACCACTATAAAATATGTCCGTGGCAATAACAACCATTCGTTATAGTCATTTATAGGAAATCAACTATAGAATCTTGAACAGTGCAACCAAGTTGGAGAAACTCTTGTTTTGTTTGTCACAGCCCCATCAACCTAATGTTCATGGTTGCTCCTGCAGGATCCTGGAGCTAACCACACTATGGCTGCTAAAGTTTTCATCCGCGTGGGTGTACACAGAGGAATATATTTTCTCAGTAGCCTTTTTCTACAATGTGTTTACAATGTGCATGGCAATGCTTTCGTTTATTCCGTCGAGAATCTCCCTTTACGAGCTAGTACAGTCTTTCAAATCACGTTGTTCGATTCATTGTCACGCTTTGTCGTCTTCGTCCCTTCTCGCATCATCCTGCATTTTAGGAAGATCCGATCTCATATTGTTGGCGTGTGTTGTGCGTGTGTGTGAGAGAGGGCGATCGTGAGGGGAAGGGGGTTACGGGCGGGGGTGGTGGTGATGGTGCGTCCATTTCCTCCCGTGGGGCTTGAGGCTGTGTGGCTTCGGATATGGGATGTTGAGGTGGATGGGGCTGGCTGGATTGCTGCTGTTGGTCCATCACCTCAGTTTGGCAGCGGGAGAGAACCCATCGGGAGCCATTCCCACATCTGGCGTCGACAGAATCGATCAGTCCGTTTGAGATGAGCTCTTGCGGCGTGTGGCTGTCTGGGATTCGGCCACCGTCCTAGAAATTAACGCATTTTCACAGTGGGTTTGAGCTTGGTTTTATA